CACAAAACCACCAAAGAAAACTCCCGCCAACAAATCATCTTATACGGTATTACATTATTATGTTTAATAGAAGCATTACAAGTACATGTAGCTGGATTGATTATGGGGCAATGTATTAAAAATGTGCATGTCTGTGTGAATGCATACTGAAATTTATAGGATCTACATGTAATATCTCAATAAAAAACAATTCTTAACCTTTATTCTCTGATAGGTGTTGTTGTCCATGGTCTAATGCTTGTAGGGTAAGGACTGCACAAGAAGAGGACACTGTAGCCATTGTTGGTATAAAGAATGAGAACAAAGATGATACGAGTGATGAGGCTGAAGATGAGTGAGTCTTTAATCATATACCCTCTCTTTCTCTTCCTCCTCCCTGACTTTCTCTCTTCTCTCTGTCTGTCCCCTCTCCTCTCTCTTTCTCAATCCCATTCTTGATCGCATTACTCTATAATCATATGCATGTACTGTTCTTTCTCTCTTCTCTCTACAGTGAAAATGAGTCACTGATGAAAGATACAGATGTCCTTGAGTCTAGTCTTTCAGCTAAATTTGACAAATAACAGATGAAGCAACCTTTGTATCATTTTGTGTACTGCATAACAGCATTCAGTGTTAAATTTTTATGATATAGACAGATTTTATTATTTTGCTATTATTCTTAAAAATTAATACGTATCACATTATAATAATGGAACTATGACATGGGTAGATTTATAGATCTAATAGCAACAATAATTATGTACTCTTGCCTCTTGCTTGGTAACATAAAGCAGAGATAAAACCGGGTTTACTTAACAATATTAGCTACATGCATAATTCTATGTGTGCTCTTGGAGCTAAGCCATAATTGATCATGACATTAGAGATGGCTAGCAACTGATGCTTCAGGAGAGATTATACATTTTTGACCAGTAAACAGATGATGAACAAAATAATTATACAATAAAATATGGAAATATAAACAATAGTCCAATACAGAGAAAACTTATATATACAATATAGAGAATAAAATTCATAAAAACAAGTGTAAGTATAGTGGTAAGTGGAATTGAGTCACATAACACAGTTCAGTTTTGGGTTGAGCCATTTTGGGTAGATCTACTTTGCAAAGCTCGCTACAACCTAAGAATACAATAGCCAGTCAGTATATAAGTGCTGTACAATTAATTTCACTCACCATTTCTTCTTTTCTGTAAAAGTAATTTGTTTCCACTTCTTGCACAGGTTCCACCAAGAAACAATCATCTTCATTATTCTTAGACCAGATTTTATCACCAACAATGATGGCTGCAGGACCTGCTCCTACAGCTGTCTCTTGAACCGGTCGGCGAGGAAGAGCTGCTGCTATCAAGTTGATAGCTCCTGCTTCTCTAAGCCACATTATAAATAGCAGCAAAAGTATCATCTTTATCTAGACTTTATGCTTTACAATGATGAACTTTTATAATGTCAATTGCTATGAATATCATTAACAAAGAAAACGCGATCATTTTTCTTTTTTTGTTAATGATATTCACAGATAGATAGTAACAAGAGATGCTATGAATACCGTATGGAAGGAAATTAAATTTGGCGAATTTGGCGTTTTGATAGCCATTCGCCAAAATAAAAATTCGCCATTTTGAGCCATTATGCGCATGCTCAATGGCACATGGCCACAAATTAGCCAAATTAAAATTCGCCAATCATCCAAAATTTACCAATTCGCCAAAATTTAGTCCCTCCAAAATTTCCTTCTGTACGGTACATTAGGGGGTTGGGTTTATACAAGAAGCTAAGCTATAAATATTATTAGAGTGTGTAACTCGACTATCTATGGCTAGCTAAATACCATAATGGGTACATAATTTGTACATAGTGTGATAAAATAATGAGTATATATTGGAGTTAGAAATCTCTACTGTCTATGATGGCATGCATTACATCAAAAGCCCATACTCTCCAGTCCTTCCTCTAAAAATTGTTTATATATTCTCATAAATTTTGCTGTGAAGGCCTCAAGATGAAAGGTTGCTTTACTGCCCAGTTGTGACTGTGCTTAATACTGAGCTGCTAATTGAGTCACTTCAGCTTTCAATGTACCATCACAGTTAGCAACCAGCTCATTCAATATCCTCTGTAGAAGAAAAAATATTAGAAAAAAAATATTACAATTAATTTTATATACATGTACATGTGTAATCTCTCCCTTTCTTCCAGTAAAAGTAAGTTTTCTCTCTCAAAATTCACTATGAGTCTCTCATTCTCTTATATATATATATATATATATATAATTATATTAGTTACTTTAAAAATAATATCAGGTGGTATACAATGAGTTAACAGCTCATAATAACGTCCTCTTACTTCAAGTAACTTCAAAAATAAATACAATACATTTTAATTAATTTTATTAAAATTGCTTTTGTGTTACAGGTGTATATACCTCTTAGGACTCTGCTCTGTGATGATCATTGCAGCTGTTTCACATAAGAAAACCTCCCACTCACAATCAGGGACAACCTGATCATCATTGAAGGGATACCTATCAAGAAGAAAAAAAGAGATAAGAAGGGGAAACATAGAAGGAAAGAGGTACATCTTCATGTATAGTACATACCATATATAGCACATTATTTTGGTGGAGTTTTATTTTGACAATTTGCAAGTGGAATCGCCAATATTAAAACGGCTAATCATCAATGTGCATGCTCAGTAATGCATGTGTACACAAAAAATTGTCAAATTAAAAACCGCTAATTATAATTTGATAGCAAATCACCAAAATAAAGAGTTGTCAAAATAAAGCACATA